TTCCTGTAGGGAAGCCCACATTGTTTTCTTTTCTCTTCCATCCAAAGGTCAACCAACAGCAGACTCACCCTCTTCTATGGCTTCACTCACTTTCTCACAGTCGGACGACAGGTACAGGTTGGTATGGTAGGCCTTCAGGTAGCCGATGGGGCTGTTCCCGCCTGTCATGCAGAACCGCTCAATGAACAGGTCTAGGAGGGAGAAGAGAGCCACCATTATGCTTGTCACAGGCCGTTTCCTAATGCACCACCAGCCCTGGGAGAACCCACAGCCATTCCCACACCAACTGGGGGTCACAGCTGCAAAGGTGGAGTTGTGGCAATGTCCTTTTCAAGGGTCTTTTCCAGGTACCCTTTGCATTCATGTCAAGGAAGAGCTTCTACAGCTGACAGAGGGAAATCCCAGGAACCAACCCCTCCATGTCACCGTACAGCATGAATTTTGTGTTTGGGAGAGTGTGAACCGCAGGTACAGACTGGACCTTTAACTACCTGGGAAAGTGCCAGGAGGGCCATGGGCCACTGGGGAAGCTGTGGCCATGGCAGCTTTGCAGGGGCCACTCACCACACCACAGCCTGAGTCCAAGGCAAACAGCCCCAGTAGGAACTTATTTATTATTTATATTTATTGATACATTAAATGTATGAATCACCCAATCCCTGAGTTCACAGGGCTCTGGGCGATGTATAAGTAAAATACAATATAAAATCATTAAGTTACAATAATAAGCCATTCAGTACAATCTTAAAAACAGTTCCCGTATGGCGTCCATAGATCAAAACTTAATCCGGTTCCGGACTGTGTTGCTGCTTCACGGGCAGGGGAGGGAGTAGGCTGAAGAAAGATGGAATAAAGGAGGGCTGTGCCAGCCATGATAGCGCCTGTCGCTGTCCTAAACCAAAAGCCTGACTCAGGTTGTGCCAGGGATATTTTAAGATCCCAATCTGGCCCTGGGGAGAAGTCCTTGGGTGGTCATTGGCTGCGTCCCCTTCCTTCCGGATCCTTTCCCCTTCCCCAGCTGTCACATGGTTGGAGTGTATAGGCTTGCCTTCACTGTGGGGAGAATCCCGGCAACCCAATAGATGCTGACAGGTTTGACAATCACTCTTTCTTACCAAGAACCCCTGCAAGGGTGAGTGCAAACAAGACATCTCAGTGTGCTCCCCATTTCTACCATTTCTAGGATTTTCTGGAATAGGATAGAGTAGAGGTATGAAGGGCCCAGAGTGGGAGGAGGGGGGAGAAAGAAAAACAGTACTTCCCCCTCTGCATTTTTTCCTTGGACCTTTTCTATTTTTTTTCAATGGAAAAATTGAGAAATTTGGGGGAACACAGAAAAAAATGCTATGAACTATTTTTCCTTTGAAATTAGTGACAGATAAAGTTTTCCCCAATTGAGACATACATCTGAGGACTTCTTTGCAATCTTTTTTCTGGTGGACCAATGGAAACCTGAGCGCTCTTCCCAATTTCCGCTTCAGAAAAGTTTTTTAAATTTTGGGGCGCACTAAAAGAAACCACCTCCCATCAATCCCCCCTTTTGGAATGAGTGCAACAGAAAGCAGCAGTCTGTGACTCTTTTCTCGCACGTGCCAGTATTAGGTATAGCTGCCATTTTGCTTGTAGAGAATGAAGATATTTATAAATTTAAATTTATGAAATTTCATACATTTAAATAGTACAGTTTTATATACTAAGTTATACATTATACATTTTATGTTGCTAAAGCAGGGGAAAATGGGCTTAGGTTTGATAGGAAAGTAAGTATTTAACTGTTCCCAAAATACCTGGGTTTCTTTTTTCTGATCAATCCCCCTCCCCCCGGGCTTCATTTTTGTCGGTTGTGGAAATTTCACATATCTGGGGGGAAGCCCTAACAGTCAAACCAGAATAAAACTACTATAGGCTTATATACATATGCAATAGCTTGTGCTATTATCAGGAAAAGGCAGGGGTTGCTTAGCTCCCCACTATTATGGCCTTGACTTGGATAGCCCAGGTTAGCCCAATATTGTCAGAGACAGATAATGGCAAACCGCCCCTCAATGTCTCTTGCCTTTAAAAATCCATGGGATTACCATAAATCAACTGAGATGTGACAGAAAAAATATCATGGCCAGCCTTAACGATTGCTGTCATCCAGAGAGGCTCTTGGCTTGCAAACACCCCCCCCCCCCCCCACAACACCACCAGCATGCAGGGCTACCTGTGCACCTCCCAGGATTGGGTGCACACAGTCACAAGCAAAGGGGCAGAAAGAAAAGAGCTGGTCCACCCCGACTTATTCTGGTACAACCAGAGGTACTGTCTAGGGTTGCCAGGTCTGGGTTGGGAAATTCCTGGAGATTTGCATGTGCAACCTGAGGAAGGCAGGATTTGGCTAAGGAAGGGACCTCAGTGCTGTATAAGGCCATAGACTCTACCCTCTGAACAGGTGCTTTCTTCAGGGGAACTGATCTCTGTTGTTCAGAAGCCAGCTGTAATTCCGAGAGATCTCCAGGCCCCACCTGGAGTTTGGAAACCCTAGGTACTCACTGTAGTGGTTGATGGTATTGATTAGACGAACTCCCACTTGGGCATGGTGGTTGGTGACAAGGACGATGTCAAAGAGTTCCTCACTGTCTGGGTACAGTTCCCGCAGTTTGGTGTTGACAGCTTCCAGAGCCTGCAGAACCAAAAATCCATCAGGCCAGGCAACCAAGGCCACCCCCTCAAGCCAAATGACCCACTGGTCTGGTGGGGAACTGCTGAAGTGCCTGGGACCAACAAACAGCTGTCCTTGAGGACTCTCTTCATCCCCTTATGGGTGTGGGGGGAAATTAAGCCCCCATTGTGTTTGTTTATTTATGTTCTTTCTGTCATAGGAACAGAAGAACATAAGAGAAGGCACGTTGGATCAGGCCAATGGCCCATCCAGTCCAACACTCTGTCACACAGTGGCCAAAACCCAGGTGCCATCAGGAGGTTCACCAGTGGGGCCAGAACTCCAGAAGCCCTTCCACTGTTGCCCCCCCCCCCAGCACCAAGAATACTGAGCATCACTACCCCAGACAGAGTGTTCCATCTACATGTTGTGGCTAATAGCCACCGAAGGACCTCTACTCCATATTCTTATCCAATCTCCTCTTGAAGCTGTCTGACTGTAGCCACCACCTCTACTTCTTGTGGCAGTGAATTCCACGTGTTAATTACTCTTTGGGTGAAGAAGAAGTACTTCGTTTTATCTGTTCTAAGCTTACTGCTCAATTAATTTCATTGCGTGCCCACGATTTCTTTGAGGGCTTCTGAAAAGCCCTCAAACTGGATCTCAACGACTAGAGCCAAAGCTGCTTTAAAGCAATTCTGTAGTTGGCAGAGGGAGGGACCCCCTGCCTCTACTAGCCTTACGGGCAGGGGAACACATCAAGCTGTCTTATACTGAATCAGACTGTTGGTCCATCAAGGTCAGTACTCTCTCCTCAGAGTGGCAGCGGCTCTCCCAGGTCTTGGGTCAAGGTCTTTCGCATCACTTACCACCTGATCTTTTTAGCTGGATATGCCAGGGATTGAACCTGGGACCTTATGCATGCCAAGCAGATGCTCTACACTGAGCCATGGCGCCTCCCCATGCCTTGTCTGATTGTACAAGCAGCCAAAAAGGGGGGGGGGAAGCCAGTGTACAATGCAAGAAACAAGAAAGAACACCACTGGCAAAAAATAACGCACAAGCAAGTAAGCAAGTATATAATGATCAAATAAGCATAACAAGTATGATATAAATCAATTGGCCAAAGTGCAATAATAAATCATAATAGAAACAAGTCACAGTCTTTCTATGTGTCTACTCCAGCATAGAAGCAATATCAAAGTCCAAATTGGAGTGCAAGTTGCCAAATTTTCTGAGCCATAAAAAGCTGACGCGTAATCCGGATGCCTGATGCCGCGTTTCGAATAATTCTTATTCAAGCATGGCTGTAATGGGACTGAATGCAAATTCAAAGCATATACAAATGAGAATGCATACAAAATATAAATATCAGAACAATACACAAGTGAGAATGCATGCAGGATATAAATATTTGAAAAATTAGAAAAATTAGGAGCTGCAAAGAAAACTCACCCCAGTCTCAAAAGCTGGCATACACTAAGCCAGAATGGTCAGTCAAGGAGGATTAAGGGTCCTTAACCTGCCATGTGCTGCACCTTAATTTATACCTAATTTCAGGCTGCATCAACACAGCTGATTGTACAGCTGACATGCGCTAGTGCTCTCCTGGATCTAAGGAGCGGTCTTATATATGGGGTCTCCTTTGACCGGCTGTGACTCTCAGGCAAAGCACAGTATTTATCCGATCTTAACCACGGTCCATTTTCCCTGACGACAAGTTAACTGGAGGATGGACCTGGGACCTCCAGCATGCAAAGCAAGGTGGCTCTACCACTGAGCCATGGCCCCATCCAATTCAAAAGCTGAGCCTGCGCTTTTCCCAGTCTAATATTTCGAACCCAGATCATGTCAAAGAGTAAAAAGTGCAACCAGCAACGGAACAGACCTTGACAAAAGGAAAAGCTGCTCCAGGCAAGAAGGGCTCGCTCTCATGATCCAGCTGGTATTTGACATAAGCCTCCACGCCTTGCTCACTGTAGATCTTCTGCTCCTCTTCCATACGGAATAAAGCTCGGGAGGACACAGCAATTGTGATGGCATTTTGTGGCTTTGGCTTGGGAGAGAGGAAGAGAAAGCAGTTGCCTGTACTGTAAAAAATAGATCTCTTGATGATTATTTGCTGGGATAGCTAAATTGAACCTCCATGTACGGAGGCAGCATAGCTTTGAATACCAGGTGCTCAGGACAAGCAGTGGAAGAAATAGCCATCCCTTCATGCCATTCTTTTCAGCTTCCAAGTGGTGGCTGGTTTCTAGTGGAAACTGACTTTGGCCCTGTCTAGAAAGGCAACTCATATGGTATATGGTTTAGGGGCAAGAATGAATTATGTACCTATTCATTTGTTCAGCAAGGTGTGTGTGTGTGTCCCCCCCCCTCCAATCCATTGGTTCCTTCTGGCCAACCTGTAAATGATGGCGCTGCAATAATGCAGCCCGCCCCCTGACACGTTGCCAGGGGTCATTTCGTAGAAAAAGAGGTGCAGGAGCTCATTAGCATAACTTATTTGCATATGCCACACCCCCTGACATCACCGGAAGTGTGTCAGAAGGCAACACTCACCGCTCAGGCTCCACTGGACTGTTTTGGATTGCTAGCTATTGGGGGGGGGGGACGTGCAGATCTGTCCTCGCAGAGGAGGGAGAGCTTGTACCTGAATAAAACTTGGTCTTAAAGGTGCCACTGGACTGTTTTGGGCCGGGGGGCCGGGGGGGGGGCTCTGCAGCTTACCTGGCTGCTTCTTGCTCTGACTGAGGGCTGCTGGGAGCAGGGGGTGGGGCTTCTTGCATGTGCCTGCCCCCTGGGCTCTTTACTGCCAGAGCTCCGCTCCTGTGCGCTCCTGCAGGAAATGACCCCTGACACGTTGCCAAGCCAAATACATTGGAGGAAGGGGCACCATCTGTGGCGAAAGTCTTGCCAAGACCCTTTAGGGTGGTAATCAGAGCCCTGGATTCCATTCTGAAAGTGACCCCCCCCCCCAGGACAACACCCAGACCTAGAATAATGGAAGGCCTTGCCTGTGTTGTAAGGTTGCCAGCTCTGGGCTGGGAAATTCCTGGACATTTGGGGGTGGAGCCTGGGGAGGGTGGGATTTGGAGAGAGGAGGGACCTGTGGGGCATAATGCATACAGGCTCCCCTCCAAAACAGCCATTTCCTCCAGGGGAACTGATGTTTGTCATCTTGAGATTCAGTTGTAATTCTGGGAGCTCTCCTGACCCCACCAGGAGGCTGGCACTAGTCAAGACTGGGCTCTTTTTGAAGTGGCTCCGTCTCTCAGCTTGCCTGCCACCCTTCTCTGCTTGCTGCTTTGCCACTTCCTCATCCCAGCCTCCTTTGGCTGGACTTCCAAACCAGCCCCTGGCTTGCATGCCAGGCTCCTTCTGGATTGACCCCATCAATGAAACTGCCCCAGCCCCTCCCTCTTCTTCCAGTCCCAGGCCTGCACTTATGGCGCTTGGCTACCCAAGGCCGCCACACCCCCCCCACTAGGGTTGCCAGGTCTGGGTTGGAAAATACCTGGAGACTTTGGGGGTGGGTCCAGGGGAGGGTGGGGTGTGGGGAGGGGAGGGGCCTCAGCATGGTACAATGCCATAGAGTCCACCCTTCCAAGCAGCCATTTTCTCCGGGGGAGCTGATCTCTGTCAGCTGGGGATCAGTGGTAAAAGTGGGAGATCTCCAGGCCCCACCTGGAGGCTGGCAACCCTACCCCCACACACTTTCCAGTCCTGGGCCAGCACTTACTTCTCTTGGCTACCTAATGCCAACTCCCCCACTAGGTGTCCGTGGAACTAGACCCACCCTTCACAATAATCCCAGCCCTAACAGATGGGATGACAGCTGTATTTCCTGGGGGGAAGTCACAATGAGGGAGAAGGCCGCGTGTCCCTGCACCAACTCAAAGAACCCAATTTGGATTCTCCATCATCATGCAATTGCACACATCCACAGGCTGCCTCCCCAAACTTCCTGCCCTCGGAAAAAGGTCTTGATGCCGGGGGGGCCCTGTCCCTCCCCTGCTCTAGCTCCCAAAGGGCAGGCTCCTATTAGAGGCTTTGTACTCCCACACCAGCGCTGAACCAGGCTTCTGCCTCCTTGCTTCTAGTTCTAGAGCTTTTGTTGCTGATGGCCACTTACTGATGGTGTGGTATGGGTGCTTGGGTTGCCAATCTCCAGATGAGACATGGAGATCTTCTGGAATTAGGACAGACTCTCTGCAGACTAGAGAGACCAGTTCCCCTGGATAAAACAGCAGCTTTGGAGAGTGGACTCCATGACATTATGCCCTCACTGAGAAGGCCAAATCCCATCTGCACCAGGCTCCACGGCCAAAATCTTCAAGAATTATCCAAACCAGAGCTGAACCCTAGGTCTTACGGTTGTGTAGCTATATCAGCTGTTTTGACTACTAAGAATGGGAAAAAAAACAAAGTATAAACATTTTAAGTTTATGCTTAAACCCCTTGCAGGATTTCAGCCGCTCTGCATTCACCAGCATACCCAGCAAGGTGCCAGCTGCCATCCGATGGACAGTCACAGCCCAGCATTGCCGACCTCTAGGTGGGGCCTGGAGTTTCCTGGAATTACAACTTCTCTCCGGACACCGGAGACCAGTTCCTCCGGAATAAGTGGCTACTTTGAAGAACGGACTCTCCCTCCCCGAACCTCCCCCTCCCCAGGCTCCCACCCCCCTGGATCTCCAGGACTTTCTCAACCAAGAGCTGGCAACCTTATCACAGTCATGCCTCCAGTCTTCTCTTCCATTTTGAAGAAAACAAAATGAAATGTTGGGCTATCAATAATTCAAGATGGTCAGTTATTAACCAGTTAGGGAGCTCCCAGCTTGCCATAATTCTCCCAAGTTAGCTACTTGGGAGCCGGGAGTTAATCATTAGCTAAAATATTATTTTAATGGCTCTTAAGAGGGCACAGGCCAGTTTGGCTCTGTGACAGCAATGAAAAATAGCTCAGACCTGCTTCGTGTGCGTATGGATTCCTGGGACAACACTAGGCCCAGGCTCTGTTTGCTTTCTGGGTGTTGGTTTTGACCTATAAACCCCCTTCCTTTCCTGGCCTTAGAGATGAGAGGCTTGGTGGGGTATGTGGCCCACAGGGGCACCCCATATCATTTCCTGGGAAAACAGAGCAGTATTATTTATTATTTGCTCCCTTTCACCCCAACAGAGACCGACAGGGTCTTACATTGTCTCCTCGTCTCCATTTATCCTCATACCAACCTCATGAGGTAGATTAAGCTGAGTCTGTGACTGGCACAGAGTCACTGTCAAGAAACTGGCCTTGTCTAGCCGTTCCTTGGCCTTTCATATTTTGGTTCAAGCTTTTGGTCCTAGCCAAATTACCGAAGGCTCCTCTCTCTGGGAAATTAATGTCACAATGACTTGAAGCTTGAAGAGGGATGAGATGGAGCCAGGCACAGGTGCAAGTGGGATAAGGGGCCAGTCAGACTGTGGATTACCAGGCTTGCCCATGGGGGCAAAAGTACATCAGAGGCAGGGCACTCCAATAAACTTGCCATGATGTGGGCAAATCTGCCTAACCGTCTTTGCCTGGTCCTTGCTCATGGGGGAGGGGGGGAGGGGGGATGCCTCTCTCCAGAGAACACACAGAAGGGGCTGTGCAGGGGACCCAGGCCTCCCTTCAGCATTCACACACCATCCATTGTAAAGCTTCCTATGTCCCAGTTAATTTGAATGACTGTAGAAATCTGCGGTTAGGACTTTTGCAATAGTAGGAAGCCAAACTCTCTTCTGCATCACAGGCAAGCCACAGAACCCTTCTTAGAAGACCACAGAGATGCCTTCTACTCTGACCCTCAGCTGTTGCAATGAGGCCGGGTGACTCCGAACCAGGCCAGCCCAGTTTCTCCTTCTAGCAACAGTCAAGGCTAGTCAAGATCAGGGGATGCTGGTTGGATGTCTGGATGGAGGAGCAGCCCCAGGCTGGCAGGAGAAGGAATGGCTTAGCTGGATAGATTCAAAGAGAACCAGACAGGTTTGATATAAGGTGAGGGGTGGGCAATGAGGTCAACTCCCTTCCCTTTGGAAAGTCTTCCTCACTCAGGGACAGTGGGAAGGAGGGGAAGGAATGAATGGATGATTTATTACAGTCCAGGAGGGGATGGAGGTTGCAGGAGAAATATTCCTGGTGCAGAGAGGGGGAGGGCAATTTAGTGGCAACTTCTGGGGAGAGCAGATTGCATTCAAGTACAGCCAGTCCCTTTCACACTACGGCAAGAAAATAGCATCACCAAAAGCTATTGTGCACCCCTTGGTAGATGGAAAGCTGCCAGGAGAGAGAGCAGTAGACAGCACAGGGCTAGTGTCCAGCAGCCAAATGCAGGCACTGCATGCAAGAAGGGCTCTGTTGCCCAGTGGTGCCCACCATGAGAAATGGTGCCAAGGGTGGCATGGGAGCTGCAGGAGCAGCTCCCCTTGCTAGACGTCCTGAGGAGGTTACTGTGGGACCCACAGGAGTGGAGAGAGATCACCATAAGGTGAAATGTAATAAGGAGCAACCTGTGCACATTAGCTCAGATTAATTTCATGACTTGTTAAATAACATTTTAATTAGATGTAAGCACACACACCCCTGCTCTGATGCTATTGGCAGCCCCCCGACCACCACCTGCATTTCAAAAGGGAAAAGCGTTTGGGAAATCATTCCAGTCCAGCCCTGAGCAAAGATAACATGCAAGGCAGTTTTGCCAGGGGTCGTCAGGAGGGAGTTCTGCCATTTCCAGCTTGATTCAAAGTGAAACGGTTTTTCCAGCTGAAGGCCCTTCAAGATGTTTCCAGCATCAGCTTGCTCTGAAACAGAGGGGCATGGTGTGTAGGAATGAAACATCATGTAGTGTTGCCAACTCCAGCCAGATAAATTCCTGGAGATTTGAGGGTGGAGTTAGGGGAAGGGAGTTCCGCAGGAGAGTGATGCCAGAGGGTCTGCCCACCAAAGCTGCCATTTCCTGGGGGGGGGGGAAATCAGTAGTAATTCTGGGAGAACTGCAGACCCCACCTGGAGGATGGCAACCCTAGGACAGGGTGAGACGCTAGCAAGAGGCAGAAGGGGCTAAGCCTCTAAGGAGAGCTGGGCAGGGGCTTATCAGTGCATGGTAAATGTATGTGTGTTTGTGGGGGGGAGTTAGGTAGGTGACTCCTGCAACTCTTCCGCAGCATCCTGCATCCCCATCACTGGAATGGAACTTACATCTGTGATACAGTATTTGTGGGTGTTGCAAGAGCATTATAGGACAATTTCCCACAATGCATCACAGAGCCAGTTTCCATGACAAAGCAGTGTGTCTATAACAAGATGACAATATAGCAAGATGTGTCCATAACAAGATGAGCAATCTTGATTGCAAGAGGGTGGAGCGTGTAGGGTTGCCAACAGGTCTGGAGAAAAATGTCCTGCTCCTTTGATATAGGCTTTGTGTATGGGAATGAGCAGCTGAAATCTTTCCACGGCATGGATTTCAACAATCACATCACCTGATAAATAACTACCCATTAAGCCTCACAGGCCATTTTTCTCCAGGCAGTTGGCAGTCCTAGAAGCAGGGCAGGCCTAGAGGTGTCCTTGAAAGGACCTACAGCAGGGTTTCCTCCTGAAGAGCAATGCTACCATCCTTCTACAGTGCTTTTGACAGGCCAAGGGTGACAAGCCATCCCCAAATCTCCAGGAGTTTCCCAGCCTGGATCTGGAAACCCTACACCTCCAATCCCCCACCAGTGACTGGGGGGAACCTGGCAACCCTAGTTGTGGCAGTCTAGAAGGGCATCCATCGCACCATTGCCAGATGCACAAATTACTTTCCAGGGCTGAGCCAAGAGAAAATTAGCTCTGCAGGTTGGAAGCGAAACTCAAAGGGGGCTTTGATATTGTGACTCTCCCTCCCAAATTCACTGTGGAATGCATTTTCTTTTTTTTTAAGTAGCTTGAGCTGAAAGAGAACACTCGTAATAAGGCCCCTTTATGACTTTTTCCATTGCATAAACTTGCATGCAGTGTTTAAATAATCTTTGAAAGAGACAGAAGTTTGGAGGGAGGGGCAAAAAGTGACAACTCAGTTGATGTGGGCAGCTGAGGCAGCCATGCCTATCAGTTGCAGCAACCAGATGGGGGAGAAAGAAACCCACCCACATTACTTGTGTACATGAATCTACTGAGGGCCAAACTAGGCGGCCAAAGATCTGCAACTGGCAGCTCCTTCCATGAAATTTTCCCAATGTAAATTGCCCAAGTTGCATTTTGTTTATAATTTATTTATTTATAATGTATGTGGTGGTGGAGGAAAGCGCCGTCATCTTATGATGACTCCTTGTGGGGTTTTCAAGGCAGGAGAGGAACAGAGGTGGTTTCCATTGCCTGCCTCAGTGTGGCGAGTTGACCTTGGACTTCCTTGACCTCCTATCCAAGTACTAACTAGGGCCGACCCTGCTTAGCTTCCAAGATCTAATCAGATCAGGCTAGCCTAGGCCATCCACATCAGGGCACATTTTGTTGCACAAGAGGGCAATTTCCCACCCACGAGAAGTATTTCCAACTTGCTGGGTCCTACTGATTGAGGACACAACACTGGGGGAAAAAAGGGTTCAACTCCTTCCCCAGTGTCCATTTCCCTATCAAAATGCAACACGTTCAGAACAGATGCTAACTGTGGATCTCCTTTGCCATCGCTTCAGGCAGATGTTCCCTTATTTTAGGTCTGTTGAGCTCAGGCTTGAGACCTGCAGCCAGTCCCTGAAGCTGGGATGGAAAGTTGAAGGTCCACGTACAGAAATCAAAATTTGCAGTCAAGTCAAGTTGCTTTGTGTAGTGAGAACTCAGTCATCACAGAGCAAGGTGGAATGACCAGCAATGGATAAGGAAGAAAACCAGGGAGTGATTGTCTGTGATTAAAGGTGATTAAAGAGGCTCAGCAACCAGGATTAGACTGGCTTATCCCAGGCTCATCAGAGCTTGGGAGCTAACCAGGTTTGGTCACAGTTCTTGAATGGGAGACCACCAATGAAGATCAGAGTTGCTATGAAGAGCAGCCCCAGCAGTGTACTGTGGAAGACGAGATCAGAAGGCAAAGTCCCACTATGCAGGAAACATTGGTAAGACAAGATTTGAGAGACTCAGGTCCCGTTCACACGTGGCTATTTGGTCCGGGAGCGGGACAGTTTGGGGCCAGATCAAACCGGCGCGATCACACCACCACATCTGGGAAGCGTCTTGCTTCCGTGGCCGAACTGTCCCTTTCCCGGGATAAGCCGCGCCAAACTAAACCACCTATCTAGGTGGTTTAAAGGGAAGCGGCGTGGCAACCGGGGCGTTTGATCGCCGGCGCTTCCTTGCGCCGGCTCAACCCCGGCCCGGATCCGAACTGCGCATGCCCGGACATGCGCAGTTCGGCCGGCCCCCGGTTAGGGCTGTGTTTTCTCCCCGGCGTTTGATCGCACCGGGGAGAAACGGCGGCGCGGCCGGGGGATCCGTGGGATCCCGCCGCGCCGTGTCAACATTGGCGCGGCTTTTAAAAGCCGCGCCTTCAAGCGCCTTTTCCCCTGCGTGTGGCAGGGGCCTCAGTGTACAAACGCC